GAAGGGTTGCCATTTTCTTTGGGGCACTGGACCAAGACAGTCTTTGACAAAGACTCTCTCGGTTCGTTGTCTCTTGCTCTCTGTCTCCCCCTTGTCTTCGCGGGTGTCCTTCATTTTCTCTCTTCCTCAAGAAGACTCACCTTGACGGACTTTGGTGACATCCTTGGCATTTATGTACTTTTGTGCCCCTAACAGCAACTTGGGCATGCTGTAGGGTGGCTTCTTGATAACGAAGAACATGCAGCTAAAGGAGCACATACCAGCAATAAATGCGGTCAAAGTTACCTTATCGTCTGGCTCCATGATCTGGAGAGCTTCCTCGTTGAAACGAGTGAGGTAGTTTCTAAGGCTTTCATCCCAGTCCTGCTTGATGGTGATCAGGTGGGTAACAGACTTCTGATGTCGGCGTTCTCCAATGAAGTGGGAGACGAAAAATTTACTCAGCTCCGCAAAGGAGTGGATGGAAGAGGGTTTGATCTTCGTGAACCATTGTCGAGCAGACCCTTCAAGGTGGTGGAGAAGGCTCTACACATGATCTCATCAAGCACGTTGTGGAGTTGCATAAAAGACTTAGAGGTGTCAAGATGATCCAGGGGATCCTTGGTACCGTCGAAGATCTCGATGGCAGACATCTTAAACTTCGAGGGTATGAGGTACTTGACGATGTCTGTAACAAACAAGGTATCAGTGCGCCTTACCAGGTAATTCGCCGTTTTGGAGGCTTGTGCCTTGATGGCGTTGAAGGTGTCACCGAGTTAGTTTTGCACCTCTCTAATTTTCTCGTCCCATTGGTTGGAGACAACCTCTATTGGGTTGTTGTAATGGCTTCCATGATCGGCATACTAGCTTTCTCCTTCGTCCTCCTGCACAGATACATGAGGAGGGGGAATATGTGAGTTTCCTTCACACTGAGGAGGGACTACTGGGTGAGGGGCCCCATGGTGGGGCTTGCTTGGCGCTCAGAGTGGATAGGTTATTGTGCTTCTCCCGTTGGAAGGAGTGGTATTCCTCCTACGAGCTGAGGGGCAACGCCTCCCTTGGCGAACATCAACTAAATGATTTACTGGTTCTGCTTTTCCAGCAGCTGCATAGTCTGTAGCAACTATTGTTCGACGATGGGAGTCATTGTAGCAGATGGTTCTGAGGGTGCGAGGGGAGACGGAGCTCCCTCATGGGGGCCCGGGTTGTTGTCTCCCGGTTGTTAACTTATCGACCTGGTCGTGATTACCATGAAGTAGTAAGGTAGTAAAAAACTTAGTCGATTCTTACAAATGGTGCCAAACTATTACTGCACAAAACTGTCTCGTGCAAGATCAACAATCGAGTATGTGATAAATGTATAATTAATGGACAATTAATAAAGTAACCAATGACAAAAAGAATAAATATTAGGTCAACACACATATATATAGTAGTTCGGTCCGGATAACTTATTCCACTCTGAGAAATGGCTACGGTGGCCGGTGAACCTTTATTGATGAAATAAAGTAAGAGAGAGGGAGAGACAAGGCTAGCTCCAGGAGTGGTACAATAACTAGGAGAGAGAAAGTGTGTAGAGAAATGTGGTGAAATCACTGTGTCCTCTCATGTAGAGAGGACTTATAATTTATAGGCACAAAAACTTGGTTAAGACGGTAATGTGAGGGTGAAGGTACTAGGTTTTCGGAGAGGATAGCTACAAAAGGTAAGTGCAATTAAGATAGTTTTGATCCTCGAGGGTGTATATCCTGATGATTTCTCTCCACGTGCTCTAATTCTTCTTGGACTCTTCGGACCTTGGGTTGGGTTGAATTCACGAACTGAGCTCGATCTGTCTTTTAGCTGATTTGGGTTAACTTGATTTATTGGGCCTGACTCAGTTACATTTGGGCTCATCAGAGGACCTACCTAAGGGTTATCTTTGGAAAACTGTGGTCACTTCTAGCTTCAATATAAGGCTTTATTTGTTTTGTTCAAATGGTTAGAGTGTTCGGTCCAACTTTCACGCACCTCAATTATCTTCCCTGGTGATAGGCAAGCCATCTACGATTGGGACTAGAATATTCATGAGCGATAAATCCTTCGTGGTCTGGCCTCAATACGATTGTCAAGATTTAAATTCAGAATGTCTAAGCAAAACATGACACCTACACCTTTATTTGGGCGCAAATAGGGTCATCTGCGTTACAGTCGGCATAAAAAGAATTGATTTCCACACGTTTAATGATTTCAATTTGTTTCCTCCACCTTCTTCCTGGAATGTAGATGCCTTCCAACCCACAAGAATAGAAAATATTTCTGGCTCCAATGATACACTTCAAAAAGATAAATGCCCTTCATTCCAATCCAACCATTTTCCCTCTTAACGAACTTTTGAAAAATAATAAATCTAATGAGACAATAAACTTGAACAATTACTATAATTGTTTATCAAGCAACCCTATGCATATCATGACCAGGTATTACTTGCAGACTAATATGTTGCATGGAAAATACCAACCTTTTTCAGCATATGTTCTTCAATTGAACAGCAGGAGCTACTACCGTTTCAAGCCTCCAAGAGAGTGTTTTTTTTTTTTTTTGTGTACACTGTATGGTAGATAAGTGACTGAATAATGTCATTTTAGTGTTGCCGTGTTGCAATTTAGATAGTTGGCTTCTTGGAATCCTCATAAAATGCAAGCTTGGTTTTCGAAGAGATAGCTGTAAGGGTGTCCATTTGTCGGTATACAAAAGCAACACACTCAACCATTTTTACTCTATCTTCTTCTTCAGCAAGTCTTCACCAGTTCAATGTTGTGGCATGAGTGCGATGTTGTTGTGAATCAAAATTTGAAGACAAAATTTCAATTTAAATTTTGAAATCAAAATGAAATTGAAATCAGAACACCACCGTTGGTGCCACTACCAATGACCTCTCTGCATTATAACTGCGCCTCCATCGCCCTTACTCCATTACCACTCTTTAATCTTTCTTCTATTCCTCACCAATAGCCACCAAACATCCCAAAAACCAAATCACCCATCACCAACAACACACTGCCATCACCAACATTGGCCACTACCCAACACTAATTCACATAATATCAAAACAAAAAAATCTAAGACCGATTTGAGTCCAACTCACTTTATTTGAAAAATCAAAATAGAGGTGGTAATGGGTGACGACTGGTTGGAAAAGATGAAAAGGAAGAAAAGAAAAAGTATAGATGGTTGCTGGTGGATATTAACAGTGAACTTAAGGTAAATGAAAGAGATATGAAAAGGCGTTTAGCGATGGTTAGATATAATGAGCTGGTTGTAGAAAAGAAAAGTGGAAGAAGAAAGGTGAGTGTTTAAACTCATTTTGCATCTCATTATTTAAAGCAACGTTTTCAAAAAATAAATGAGTTTGAGAAATAAGTTTGAAAGTGACTAGATTTAGATTAACATTTTGAGGAGAATGAATTTAATGAAAAACTCACGACCTTTCTAACTACAATTGTTTTTTTTTTTTTTGTGGTTTAAAAACTATTTATTCCAAATCAATTATTAAAAATAAATAAAACTCATCAAAAGAAATTATCCCAAATATTAAACATATTTGTAAATAGTAAAACTTTAAATCAGTGCTCGATTCAAAGCATAGAGACCCAAAAGAAGAAAAAATACTATTTAAACCTAATTTTAGAATTTAAGCAACTGTTTAAGTAAAAATTTATTTCACCAAACAACTAATCATAATTATAGAAACTCTCTGAGAACTCTTGCATCATTAAATAGATAAAAATATATTGAAAATCTATTAATAAATAATAAATAATAATAATATAAATATCTAATTTAGAGACTTAATTAGTGACCTAATTCATTGATTTCAAGTAAAAAAAATTGAATCAAACGGTCAATTGAGAAAACTTGGAGGTAAAGAAAGTATAGCTTGGTTTCCAAATTTGGGGCAACGGTAATAAAAAAGAAAAAGGAAACAAAATCAGAGATTTAAGCGATTCAATTGCTTCGTAAGATTTCTTGAGTTACATGAATAAAGCCAGTGAGTTGTCCTCGGATTTTGCCATGGCCGTTGCGGAGTATACGGGAGAGATTGTGATGTCGGCGGTTAACAATGTCAGTGGAGATTTGGGGGTTTCAAGGTTTTCTTGAATGCTCTGTCGCAGAATTTTCCTCCAATTCTTCCTTCCGATGCAAACAAATTAGTGTCCACTGTTCTAGATGGATTTGAAATTTCGGTTCCTAGTTCACCGAGGAGCTAGATTCGACAACTCCTGAAGCGTCATCGTCTTTTTTGGGTCGATTCCGTATTCTATTGCCCAATCTTTTTTGCCACAGTCGTTTGGAAGCGATTCAATCATTTGATTTCCTGAGTTATGTGAATGAAGCCAGTGAGTTGTCCTCGGATTTTGCCATGGCCGTTGCGGAGTATACGGGAGAGATTGTGATGTCGGCGATTAACAATGCCGGTGGAGATTTGGGGGTTTCTCTGTCGCAGAATTTTCGTCCAATTCTTCTTTCTAATGCAAGCAAATTAGTGTCCACTCTTCTAGATCGATTTGAAATTTCGGTTCCTAATTCACCGAGGGAGCTAGTTTCGATAGCACCTGAAGCGTCATTGCCTCAGAGTTCGCCACTCAGTGCGAACCATTATCAATCAAATGAGAGAAACAGTCCAGGAAACGAGGTCAGCAATGCCTCTGGTTCTTCTAGCGGTGACCCTTCAAGGGTTACAGATGAGGCGACCAGTGCATTGTGGTCGAAAGGATTGGTGATGAAAGGGGGCAGCCTTGCGTGGAAGAGCAATGTGGATATATTTGGGGCTGATGTTGGGTTCAATGATGAAGGACGAGGCGGTTCCGCAACGTACAAGCGAGTGGTAGCCTCTTTTGAGGAAGAGCCTGTGGAGAGCCTTCAACAACAGGAGATTGCTTTCAAGCTGATTGGGCACATATTGGATAAAGTGCAGATTGATCTTAAGCTTTTGTAACAAATGAGGGCCATCGCAATTCGCAAAGGAGCAACTCCAATCAATGTTGGCTTTCCTAAAGGTAAAATTCATGGGTATCCATCCTTTTGGTTTCGAATTTTATTGATGTCTTGATGAAATAACTATAGAGATGAATGAAAAAATCTGGTTAAAATGTTTGGGTTTGTTGGCAGATATGGAAGCGTGACTGGACGGAACAGGGGCAGTTACTGAAAGTTAGAATCAATACAGAGCTGTCGGTTTACCAAGCTGCAGCGGGGTTACAAATCAAGAGTCTTTCATCTGTTGATTTGAATGGGAAGTCATCAAAGAGGTTGTTGCATGGAACTTTGGCATTGTTGATAGAAGCTGCTGAAGCATGTTTATTCTGTGTCTGGCAAAAGTTGAGAATTTGTGATGAGCTCTTCAGCTCATTGCTTGTTGGGATTTCCTAAATTGCTCTCACTCGATGTGGTCAGCTGCTGCATGTCTTGCTCATTCGCTTCAAACCCCTGGTGATAAGTACTGTGCTCGGGTACATTATTTGTTTGCTTCGGGCTATCTCCTACAGCTGGGGCGTATCTTGGTAACATGATTCTGCAATATGTTGCACTTTTTGGATAAACTTTCATTGTAATATATATATTTTTTCAAACAGGCAGAGACTTGGGGCAGATTTTCTAGGACCTCTACTTCTTGCTGTGGCTGAAATATGTTCAGATTTTGATCCTACTGTATATGTGGAACCTGCACTTTTGAAGCTATTTTGCAATTTGTGGTTCTATGTCACTCTCTTTGGGTTAGCACCTCCAATACAAAAAACTCTATATATGGTAAGTCAGTTCCCATAATCTGAATAGTGTGGGGAGCATGGGTGCAATTGATCTTCAATCTGAAAGTGTTATTGTATGAGTCTCTTTTGTCTACATGTTTGTGCTTTAGTTTTTCTACTAGTCATTATTTAAGGCATAAAACTATTCTGCTGCCAATTACTTCTTTACAGTATTTTATGTCTTACATTTTTTGTGCCATAACTCAATGTGACAATTACTTGAATTTTTTTGTCAATTACTTGCTTATAGTATTTTATTTCTTAATTTTTGTGCTATGATTCAATGTGTAATATTGCTTATTGAATGCAGTACCTTAAAGAGGGAGGAAAAGCCAACCTATTAAAATTTGGGAGGCTCATAAAGCGGCAATCCAAGAGGTTGGTTTTTCTTTGGGCATTGTGTAGTATTTATTTTGCGGTATGATTTTTTTTAGCGTTTTCTTTTCTCTTCTCGTGAAGTTTTTAATTATCATTCTCGATCTTCATCCTTTGCTTAAGATTTCTTGCAGTTATCGAACTACAAAGGCACTGATGTTAAAACTTGAAGATCCTACACCATATTGCTTTGGATACAAATGAACAATGGCGGTTTTGTTTATGGTAATCCAGGTTTAAGTGACACAACTCTGCACATACTTTTGAAGAGCATACAGGTCGGCTCCTTGCATGTTTACATTTTTATTCCCTTTGAATATCTTTGAGTAGATGTTCTATTTTTCATTTTTAAATATTAATAATGTGTTTTCTTAACAATTGTGGTAGTTGTTTGAAAGTTTTCACTGGTAGTAATTATCGTATTTTAGATGATCTTTAAATTTGTAAATTGTGAAAAAAGAACACACTAGTTTTCAGACCCTAATTGACTAGGATGCAAAAATGAACATGTCTTGTTGGCATCTTGCATCAGGACACCTCATAAATTCAAAGTAACGCGTTGTAGCTAAGGCGTTCGACAAAAGTCCAGACGCTATGTCCTAGGCTCTCGTTGTTATGTTTCTGCAGTTCAAAAGATGTCCACTAAAGTCACTTTGAAAAATCTCCGTAAAGCATATATAAGGGGAGGAGATAGTTGAGGGGCACCAAGGGTCTGGCTCGCCTTGTGCCCCCAGGCCTCGGCACCGTTAGGCAAAATATAAGTGTGTCTATGTTTCTTAGGTGTATTATTAGTATATGAGTGTGTTTCTTTGGTGTATGAGTGTGGGTGGACGGAGCATATGTTTTGCTTTTTTTGGGGGGGTATATTAGTGTGTATTAACACGGTGTGTGGGTGTGCATACATATGCTGATTAGCTGGGTTGTGTGTGTGTTTTAGTTTAGGTGAAACCGAGATAGATTCTCTTCTGTTGCTTTGGCTTCTTTCGAGAAAGGAAAAAGTCTCAGCTCAGCAACTGATTATGGATTTTTCTTTTCTTTTGCGGCATCCCTGCAGCCTTCTTTCTTTTTGATCTTCTTTTACTACCCCCTTTTTCTGATTTATTGCGTCGACCTTTGCTTTCGGTTCCGGATTAGCCCTTTCGTCTGACTCTTTTCCTTATACCAAAAAAAATATCATAAAACTATGAAAAATACTGGGAAACATTAATTTTATTATTTTATGATATGTTATTCTTAATGTTCCCCGGTATTTTTCATAGTTTTATGATATATTTTTTTGTATATTAATGGATTTTTTTATTAATGTGTGTGTTTTTTAGTGTTTTAGTGTCTGTGTGCATTTGCATTCGTGTAATAACGTGTGTTTATTTTATATTAGTGTCTGTGTTTTTGGTGGATTAGCTTGTGTTAACACTACTTGTGATGGAATGTCTACATTTTTGTGTGATTTTAGATGGTGTATTAGTGTGTTTGTGTTTGTGTAATAGTGTGTTTTGGTATGTTGGTGTCTATGTTTTTTGATGTGTTATGTGTATATTTTGGTGTATAAGTGTTTGTTAACACAACGTGCGTGGGTGTGTATTTATTAGTTTGTTTATGTGTGTTTGTTTTAGTGGTGGTGTGCGCATATGCGTGTATTTGTGTAATAGTGTATGTACGTGTGTGTGCGTCTTTGGTGTGTTAGTGTGTATTTTTTTGGTGTATTAGTGTGTGTATATTTTTTGATTTAAGAGGACGGTGTGTTTTCATTAGTGTAAGTGTATTCTTTTAATCAATGTGTTATTGTGTGCGTTTTTATGTGCACAATGTGTATTTATTTTTATCAGTTATTTTTGGTGTATAGGTTTTTATGTTTATTGGGTGTGGTCGTTGGCGCGTATGATTTTATGATAGTATGTCTGTATCTTTCTTATCTGGAGTGTTTTTGTGTTTTGATGTGTATAACGTGTTTGTGTGTGTGGTTATTACTCTATTTTTTTTATGTTATCGAAGTGTTTGTGTATGTGCCTCCTTATGTGTCTGTGTTTTTATTTTTATTATGTGTATCTTTATTATTATGTGACTATTTTAAAGTTTTTGACTCTTTGGGAGGCTTACAAAGCAATAATCTACCAGTTATGAAGTTATCTTTAGGCAAGTTTTTTGCTGGTGAACATGATGTTGCTTAATTTAAGATAGGATTGTGTAAGTTTTTTCATTCTCTTTTTTTACACTTGTCAAACTATAATTTGGATAGGAATGGCTGATATGAATTTTTGTTAATGATAATGCAAGTTCTAATGAGCTTTGGAAGGGGAGGACGATTGCATACATTCATAGGGAATACAAGTTTGTTTTCTTGCATGTCTACGTGACTTTCTTTTGCATATATTTTAGTGCATACGATAGTTTCTATTTAAAATGTAATGATTTTTATTTTTCCTTAGTAATTGTTTGTGGGGGGCGATAGAAATATGATTTGGTCTTTACCGTAATTGGTCTATTGTTCATCATTTAAGGTATGTGACTCCAATTTTGTCAATTCATTCCTTACAATTTTTTGTTCTTTAAAATTGTTATGCCATTTTACTATTGTGTAACGAGTTTAGATATTCCCTATTTATTGCAGTACATTAAGGCAATGGAAGAGATGCCAACTTGTTGAACTTTGGGAGACACTTACAAGGCAACAATCTAAGCAATTATGAAGTTCCTCTTAGGCGAGTTTTCTATGGGTGAACATTATTTTTGCTTTTGATTTGAGGTATGATTGTGTAAACTTCTTTCTTACTTCTCTTCTCTTTTTTTGTCAGTGACAATGCAAGTTTTAGTGATACAATTTTAAAGCTTTGGAAATAGAGGACATGTGTGCATACCTTCGTAGGGCGTACGGGTTCGTTTTCTTTCTTGTTTACGTGACTATTTCCTTTACATGTATTTTATTGCATAAGATAGTTTCTATTTAAAATACTTACGATTTATATTCTTCCTTACTAATTGTTTGTGGGGAGGAGAGGAAGGGAGGAGATAGAAATATGGTTTGGTCTTTGCTATAATTGGTCGACTTGTCATAATTTAAGGTTTGTGGCTCCTCTATAGCCAATTACTTCCTTACAGCTTTTTGTTTCTTAAAATTTTCATACCGTTTAACTACTGTGTCACGATGTTAGATATACTCTGTTGATTGCAGTACATTAAAACACTTGAGAAGACACTAACTTGTTGAACTTTGGGAGTCTTACAAGGCGGCAATCTAAACAGTGATGAAGTTACCTTTACGTGAGCTTTTTACTGGTGAATATTATTTTGTTTGATTTGAGGTATGATTGTGTTAGGTTTTTTCTTCTCTTTTTTGTCTTTAACCTTTAAATTCTTGAGTATCTTTCCTATGATCTCAACGATCAACTTATGTTCTTTGGTTTGGATTTCTCATAGTTATCAAACTATGTTTTGGATAGAAATGACCGATGTGAAATGTTGTCATTGGTAGTGCAAGCTCTAATGATGCAACTTTATGGAAAGAGAGGACATGTGTGCATACCTTCGGTGGACATACAGGCTTGTTTTCTTTTCTGTCTACGTGACCATTTCTTTAGCATATACTTTAATGCATATGATAGTTTCTATTTATAATGCTTTTGATATATATTTTTCCTTAGTGATTGTTTGTTTGTAGTTTTGGTTTTTTTTTTTTTTGGGGGGGGGGGGATTCGTAAAAATAAGGTTTGGTCTTTTATATAACCTATATATCATTATTTAAGGTTTATTATGACTCCTCTGTTGCCAATCACTTCCTTACAATTTTTTATTCGTTAAAATTTTAATGCCTTTTAACTGTTGTGTCACAAGGTTAGATATTTTATATTGATTACAATACATTAAGAAGGGGGAGGCTTTCAAGGCAGTAATCTTCCAGTTATGAAGTTATCTAGTATGTGTATATATGTGCTTGTTGAATAAGTGAGTGGACATGTCACTCGTTCTTTTTTTTTCTTATTGCTCTTTGTTGTTTCGAAGGTTTTTTTAATTTTTTTTGTACATAATTAATTTAATGTGTCTTTCTTTCAGTTGTTTGTAAAATGGATGCTAGCTTATGAAGGAATAAGGGGTTAAACTGGATTGAGATGCATTTGCAAAGCAAATTTAGGAGTGAAAAGATAAGTATATGAGTTTCTCCCGCTTCAATGGCTTTTATTTTTTTTGCAAATTGTATTTTACAGATGATTTTTTTTCCCTTTGTCTTTCTTACTTGTTATAATCATTCTTGTA